AATCGACTGTATAAATTAAAATGGCCCACCCTGTATATATCAATTTTCATTATTCTTTTTGATGACTTACAATTAAATAAAGGTTGATAATATTGCACACAGCTTCCGTTATAAATAAAGCGCACACAAGTTTTCTTCTAATTGCGAAACAATGTGCGCAACTTTAAATTGATAAAAAATTTTTACTATGTAAATTTAATAGACTTCTAAGGCTGGGATGTATTTTATACCCGATGTGCGGATAACGTATATAGAGCTTGAGAGAATTAAATTGACTTTTTGTTAACAAACCCGTAAGAAGGTATAATATATTTCAGTTGTGTCACTTCTTATTTATTAAAAAGGCAGTTACATACTTTCGAGTTGCAATCGATTCGATCAATTTCAAATGAGTTACGGTATGCTGTGTATATGTACCATGAGCTTTTCTTCCAGCGGTCCCTCATTTCCACGATCTTTAAAGTTATTCTGGCCGGTGCTACTGCCACTGCTGCTGTTGCTGCTGCTGCTACTGATACCGCTGTTGTATTGTGTCATCTTCATGTTACACGTGTCGTCTCGCGTTAAAACGCAATTCAATCGGAATCAATTGACGTGACCCGTTAAGCGATGTTAACGAGACGTCCGACAATGCCCGCATCTATATAAAATTTACACGTGCACAGGTCTCCTCGCCGTCTGATTCATCCATATCGATTTTCGTCGTAGCATTTTCTTGGGCAGACGTGTCCGCGGATAATTATTTCGTCACAAAATAACGCCCAATAAAGTATGTCGCAGACTCCAATTCGCAAATGCGAACAATCCCTCACTCCCAGAAAACGATAGTAATAATAAAAAGTATCGGGGTAAAGTCGAGGAAGAAGTCTCGCCAGAAGCGTGATAGGAAGAAGGCAAAGGAAGATATCTTTACAAGAGGTAATATTGTTCCCTACGCGGTGACGATTGAGGCCTGATATACAAAATATTTGCAACACGTGCGCGCATTGCAAACAAGCGATTGGACGTGTTTTGCAAGTTCAATTGAGCGCGTTCGAACGGCGGTCGAGGTATCAAGAAACTACACGGTAGTGTCGCGCACCAAATTCACGCGCGGTATGTTATCACGGCACAGTCAGGCGCCCGACTGAAAAGCACCTGTCCACCTGTACATGTAAAAGCCACCACCAGCTTACGCTGGAACACGCGAGGAATACGCGCAGTATACTCCCGTATACCACGACGTTCGACCGGACAATCTGTATTAATGACGCGGCTAAACTGTTGCTGCTTTTGCGCTGTTACGTTGTAGAAAACATGATCGTTGAAATAAAAGCTGTGAGTTCACATTTGCTTTTGTTTTTCTTTTTACTTCTCCTTTAAAAGTTACGACGACAATGTTTAACAACGTCAGTGTTTTCTTGACCATAAGCACCTGGTATCTTTAATAATACAGAAAATTTATTGCGAAAAATACTAAAGGGTAAAGGGTCCGGGAACACTCCCTCGAAAAGTGCCTTGCAACCCCAAGAGAAGTCAATAGAGATTATTATAATATTGCGAGAAATATTACCTCAACCAGGCTTCCGATTCAATCTGTGCTTAACTTGTAAGTATTTTATATTGTATACACTTTTATCAGATAATATTGCATTTTTAAATGTATTATTCTTAATAAGTTAACAATGGAAAAACTAAATGGTCCAAATTGGGAAACTGGTGGCCTAAGTTGGATCTGGAGATGAAAGCTAACAATTAATAATAAAGCAAAATAATAAAAAGATAAATAAAAGTGTCTCCTGTAAAAATATTTGTAATACACAGCACATATTAAAACTACAACAACATTTACTTGTTGCGAGAAATATCAAATATTAAAACAAATGAATTAATAGAATAAAACTTAACATCAACACTTGTAAAATGATTGAAAAGTCTATTTGCAGACCAACCGCGCGTTGTTTTTACACGCATTGACTTTATGCAGTACTTTCTGCAATCCATAACAAATTACAAATCGTACGTTTCCGGTTCTGCTTTGAGCTATTATCAGCGATGCGGTGACAGACATAAATCACATAATATTTTAATCCCTAAATATTTAAATATTAAATTTGTTATCTTCATGGCACCAGGTTACACACCGTGTAAATGCATGACCTATAATCCATACTGGAGAGAGAGAGATCATGTATTCTTCCTTTACCTCTCATATAAAATACACATGGCGGAATAAATTGACACAGATTTTGAGACGGAACAGAGGACGCTTATTCGATACAAGAGAGCACGTTAGCTCCGTTTTACAGCTTCGGATAAAAGACAACATTGACAGGCTCATCGTTCGGGAACGCTACTCGATTCCTCTCGAGTGTCATCTGCTCAACTTCTTTCAATTTTTTTAAGTCTCTGAAGATAAACTGGTTAAGATTTAGCAAACATGCGGTGGCCCAACTTAGGCAACTAGGCTGCGAATATTAAAAAATTGCATTACACAAACACGCGAAATTAAACATTAGTTTTATAATTAGTAGTTGATAGAAGGCACTTGTAAAATGTATTATAGAAAATTTGACTGCGTACTCGTATTCTACAGCGGCTTAAAATCTGTATAACACAATAATTATAAAACAAACTACAAAAAAATAAACGGTGTTTCTATTTGATAAAATAATTTCCACCCACTGGCTACTGATTGTGAGTCGCATGTCGAGGGCAATGTCGTCAAACAGTAATGCTTACTGAATTGTGTAAAATATCCATGTACAATACATAGAAGAAAAGAAACAAAAACGATGCAATTCTGGCAACCTTCCTTTATATTAACTCTAAAAATATATGTAATATTTAATTGAGAGGGGAGAGAGAGAGAGAGAAAAGGGAAGAAGAGTATATTGTGCAAAATGCTGTAATAACTGTATTGCAATTTTTTGAAAATCTTTGTATATTTTATATGATACTTCATTTTCTTATCGAAAGATAAAATCGTGAGAAATATATTTACTTTAGAAATATATAAATATTAAATTTAATATGCGCGGACATGAAGCTTTACAATTTATTTAATAGTATACTTTTTTATACATAGCCGTTTTTAGACGAAAGCGCAAGGTAAATACTTTTTCCGAAGAAATGCATATTTTCGTAGTGTCACCTTCGCGTATATAAATGAAAAATTATCTACATTGACAGATTGACTGACGTTATTGTATAGTCGGGGAATACAGAGCGCAGAGAAGGAAAATTAGTTAGAAGTTTCTTTCTCTGATTAGGTCGTTATGAGAAAACTCGGCGAATTATTTGGATTTGAAGAAGACGAGCGAGAAGAATATGCGTAATGTAATATCCAGCTTACAGATACGTGGAAATTGCGTGAGCGATACAATGTACAACAACTTGAATTAAGTGGAATTGAAGCCCCTCATTCGCGAACCATCCTCGTTCAACAAGTTGCGCTTCCTTGATAAAGTCACGATTAATAACGCGAAAATGTCAAGGATGAGCATGGACACACTTCGCCAGTTGCCGAGCAATTCCGTGATTGTAATCGATCAGATACGTATCCATAGCACCGCGTTTAACACGATACTGATTAATTTGTCTCGCGAGTACACTTTTCCCGCCAGCGAACCCTTTAGCGAACATTATCAGTTGTATTACATGTAATTCGATACATACTTGATATACTTTGGTAAGGAAATATCAGTTACCTAGTTTCCAGCTTGTTCAGAAATTTTGAATGAAACTTTGTTTTTAATTTTATATATCGTATATTCTGATACGTATCATAAAATCGTCATAAAAATTGTAGAAACGCAATCTCACCCTACAATTTACTCACATTTACTGTGCGCGTGCGCAGACAAATTATACATATATTATGTAAAATAAACTTAAACTTTATACGTATGTAAACACGCATATGCATATACATATACGTACATTGAAATCATATTGGACATTCAAAAAAGTTTTGCACTCATATGTCAAGTATGTGTATAATTGATCCCATAAAATATTATTAATATAAAAATGATTTATCTATAAGAAGTTATTGTTTTATAATAATTGTGTGTTGACTATTGGGACATTAATGTTTATGCACGCTGTTCCGTCTATTTTAGAAATGAACCTTAATCCCGTGCCTCTTAAGACTTAAATGCTATTTGTACCCCAAGTGAAAAGGACGCGAGACCATGCCTATTCCGGTACGAGCGTGGTTATCCGTTCCACTATCATTTTCTATCGACAAAAGTAATCAATGCTGGATATAGTTAAGCATCGAGGTCAACACCGCTGGTAAACTAGTCAGATATCGCTGATCGATATTTAGGTATGAGGAGCATTGAATGAATATTATGTGCGGCAGAAAAGGGTTACTACCTTTGACTTCCAAATAATGATATACTTTTAGACTAGTGATAGCGCTATAGTTGTCGAATAACGAACAACTTTTCGGGCCGTTTTTACTACACGCGGATTGTTGCAGAATGCTGTTCGATAATGCAATAAGCGTAATTAATGCGACCGAACCATTTGGCGACAATAGTAATTTGCAGTAATGTAGGCTTTCGCTAGTAAGAGGGGTAGAATTTCAGCGCGATATTTGACGAGAAAACAGAGTAAATGCGGAAACAGAAATGCTGTTATTTTAAGAGCGCTCGAAAAAGGCTTTTCGGCCGCTTAATTGCTTCGCAAGAATATAAGGGAAATACCAGCGCAAGGGAATATTGCGTGATACGTGAGTATTGGCCGTCCTGAACTCCTCAAGCGACCGAAAGTGACCTTCGTTTGGACTCCCTCGTTTCTCGGACATGTCCATGTGTCATGACTCGCGCGCGCACACAGCCGATGATATCTCTTCAAGATTGATCGTATCTTTTCGCTCGACACGCACGCACACGCTAGAAAGATATAGAAAACATTTCGAAAGGAGAGAAGGGAGAGAAAAGGCCCGTCATCAAATTTATCGTTTCTAGTAAAATACTAAAAATACAATTGTACAATGTGATTTGAAAGAAACTGGTACAAAATTCTGGTAGCTTTGACATGACGCGGCTTAAATCGTTAGCTTTTACTTCTTTCTTGCAACAAAGGTAAAAAGGAAAGCGCGAAACGCGAAACCTTTTTTTTTTCAAATTATGGGCACCATCAGAAATATACTATAGAAAATGTGAGACTTTTCTACAGAAATATTTTAGTCATTAGAGATATATAAAAATTAATTTCTACTTACAATTAGTCTGACTAACGTATTCTTACTTTTATTAATCGTATAAATAAATGGAATTAATATAACAAAATTAAATGAAGTTTTATGCATGTTTGCGCGCGCGCGTGTGTAGGTATGTGTTTATCGCCACTACATTTATGTTAGTAACTCCAGGAAAATTAATCACACTAATATATTTGGTATGTACTATTTTTTTAAAATTATTTGAAAATTATGCTCGTAGTATCACCAAAATATTAGAATCTCTTCACAAAGCATCAGATTATTTAACATACGAAGTATATTATACGTCGATTACAATCTTCGATTTAACTTGTAATGGTTATTGCATAAATTACAATAGTGATGAGAAGCTGTGTATTTTACTTACAGATGTTACGTGAAGAAGAAGAAGAAGAAGAAACAGAGTTGTCCTTTCCTTTTGTATAAAGTAAAATGTTATTTTGAGAGATTATATTTAATTGCCGATATACGTAATAAAAATATATTAATAACTTACAGACAATTGACAATTTTAAACATAGACAAGTTATTATATATACGTAATTAAATTTCTTAGAACGTTGCGGTTTTGCATTCGTAATATTTTCTGTTTACGCCGTCGGATTTTATCGTCCAGCGTTCCGCCTTTATTCTTGCCGTTTCAAATTTCAGTTGTGCAGAGAACATATTCACCAAGTTAAATTCAGTTGAACTTTCCTATTCTTAGCGCTCTTAATTACTGCGTGCTTGGCGTATCTTGTGTTGCTTCCCTACTATTTCGTATTTGCTACTTACAATTAGTTACACATGTGGAAAATATTGCAATTGTGATCAAATGGTTTTTTTATACTACACATGTACCATTAAAGTATAGAGTAAGGCAAAAAGGATTGAGAGAAAAGTGCTAAGAATAAGGGACATAATTCCACAAAAAATGTATTCCCGATAAGTTAACAGTGTATTAGGAGTTTGTCACCTAATTCAAGCAAAATGTTGCAGATTGATATCAATTTCATTTGCGTGAAGATTCCTAGTCCCTCACCGCAGTTGTCCTTGTTTGATGTCGTCAGAAGCGGGAAATGATACGCTGAGAATTCTTGCGTGCCAGTTTCAAATAAAGAAATACTTGGCTAAAAGAACATTTCAGATCTCTTTAGCACATTTATAACTCTTGGGAAAGTATACCTTAGAAAACTTTAAAAGTTTACTTTCGAAAAGATAAGAAATGTGAAACGTAAATTTGGACGCTTTAGACTTTTACTTAAGGTAAACTTATAAAACTTACTTTGAGAATTCAAAAGAAAACTTTAAGAACTGCGAAAAGTATGTGATATAATTTATAATACCGCGTGCGGTTTTCTTTTTACGAGAAAGTGCTATAACGCGCGGCCTTCTGGCGGGAACTTCGTTTAACTTCTTTAAGTAAACTCGTAGATTTGAAAGATTACTTTTGAAAACTTTAATTTTATTTAAAGTACATTTTCCCAGGGGAAAATTATTCGACAACTATCCTTCTCCTTCGACAGTTAATAAACAGCCGTAAAATGTGATGCGAATAAGCCTAGTTATGAGCCTGCGTATAAATCATTGCTAATTGAAAGAAAGCTGCGTATCACGTTCATTTTACGGCAGTTCATTCAAACATTGTTTTATTTGAAAATATCACGCAAGAAGCGTGTCATTTCTCGCCTCAAACATTATCAAACACGAATAACTATAGCGAGGAGCGTTTTGCTAATAGATTCTGACGACGTGATCTAACAGTAAATTGCCAGAATCTGTTCATAATCATTAAACTGTATCGTTTGAATAGCTGTGAAATTTACAAACTCTGTTTGGTTTCTTCAGTCAATCTGCCGTCATATTCCGTTGATAGACTATTATATTCTTACTGGCATTTAACCGACACACAGTTTGTCGGCAGACATTTGCAAAATCTGTTTTCCACAGATTTGGCTATTTGGTATAAAAATAGGGTGCGATTAATAGTCATTGCGCAGCGTGATTTCAGATCCATATAAAAGACCAATAAAGAATATTAAATATAATAAATGATACGGGAAATACTATCCTGCTGCGTCTATCGATCCACTGAGCGATCTCCTGCGGCGTCATTGTCGTAAAGTTGTGTAACTTGGCTAGAGTCGGCCTGCGTGTAAACGACTTAACCGGCGGGGTGCTGTCGATGGTTGTGATGCTGCCAACGGAATAATCCGGATCCTTATCTTCCTCTATTCTTACCGATGGGATATTGATCGTGCTCGGAAAACTCTGGAAACAGTAAAAAATATTTGCAAGGTGAGCTTATTGTCAACCCAACTAGCAAATTTTATTCAATTCGTCTTTTTCGGCCTTACTTCAGGTCCTTTTCAAGTAACAATACTGCAAACGAACAAATATAAGAGATTGAAATTATTAAATAGTCGTCTAATAAAAGCAACCAATTCAATAAAATTTGCCAGTTCAATTGACAATAAGCTCACTTTTTAAATTTTTAATCATCACTGGCGACTATAAGTGACATTTTTCTTTCGTAGTAAAAATATGATTAATCCTATAATTCTACAGCAGAATTTAATTCGAGATACCGCAACCCATTAAGTTTCGGTGATCACGTTTAAAGTCTCTATTTAGTTGAATATGTGGTTTTATTTAATCATTCGTCATCATGTAATCGTATTCAAGATTATTACAAATAAGATTTCCAAAAATGTCTCGTTCTTAGAAAATCTTGTCTCATGTAGCAATTGCAATATTTTCTTATGTTAATATTTTAATTCCATATTCGAATAGTAATATTTTTACATTCTAAACTTCAAACGATATTTTTCTGATTCTCACGTTACTTAACAACAGATTTTCGATTTTAAATCAACTATTTCTCAGCAAAAATGGGGGTTGAGTCCCTTATTCGGCAATTTTACTATATAGAAAATATAGAAAATTAATTTTATTCCTTCCTTAAAATTTTTTATACAAAACTTATTTTTAAAAAATCGTTGAATATATTTAGGAATTTTGATACACGTTTTCCTCATTCTATGCAACATATACGCACGTGCGCACAGTTTCTTCAACTACAAAAGATATTACGCGACAAACGTGAAAATGATCTGTGAGATTATAAACCTGAGAATCTTTATGTTCTAAATGTTTATTCTCAAAGAAAATATTTCACAATACGTCTAATGTATGTACAATATTACAAATAGCATTGATAATTATTTAAGTGATGACTCACGTGCACGGTAAGATAATTGTGGCTTGTGAAATCCTGCTCGTTGTTCGTATTCGCATTGTCTAACGACGACCATGATCGCGATCGTTCCAAACCAGTTGTATTCTTCTGAAATTGTTTTCTCGCCAATCGCGGCGTCAGGGTTGACTTAAGAATGTACTTGCTGTTGACCTTTTTCAACGGCACGTTTTTTCTGTGCAAATACGACACATTATCCTTAAAATAATTTGTATCGGGTAAACGAAGCTATAGGCATTGAAATTTCGGCAAAATTATTATTACGCACTTCCTCCTGTATATGGTATTGACAAAGGCAAACTCGACCATTGCCGCGAACAGAAATATCGTGCAGCCCAAAAACCAAATTTCGCTCGCTTTTATATAAGAGACCTTCGGCAACGAATTTTCGACTTTCGATGCGAGTGTCATAAATGCTAATATAGTATTTGTTCCTGCAATAAGTTTCATGCAAGTGTTCACGGAAAGAAAAATGTAGCCGCCATAGCTAAAAACTGTATGTGGCAACTAAATGTCAGTTGTAAAATATGGACAGCTAATATTCAGTTGTGATAGCCAAATATTTTGCTACCGTGGCCATTGTATTAGGTGCGACAGCAAACCGTTTGCTGTAGGCTTAGAAATTTACAGTTAGAGCAGCAAAATATTTTTAGCAAACCACGATTAGCTATGGTAGCGAATTTTTTTTTAAGTGTTACAAATATTATTATTTAATGAGAATGTGCAGATATATTTTACCTAAGACTATTCGCGGCGCGCTCGCATCTACGTGCAACCAAAATGACACCCACGAAACTACTACAATCAATATAGACGGTACGTAATAGTCCATCATGAAGAATCCCATTTCACGAGCCAGTTTAAACGTAATGTTTATCGAGCTGAAATTGCCGGCTGCAATCATTATGCCATATTGATTTTAGTGAGAATTGCGTCCAATGGCAACTTTCGTTTCTTTAGCAGTCAAGCGTTACAACGATTAAATTTTACCAAAGTGTCCGTAATGATGTTGCGACGGGGTATAGGACACCCCGGAGCGATTGACCCACGTATCGACGAGTTTGTACTCCGTCAAATATAAGTTGTCCGCAATGCCAATCGGAGTTTCATCCCAGTCCAATACCATTTCGTTCACATTATGAGTCCCTTCGGAAAGAAAAGTTTCGTGTTTCTTTTCACATTTTTAATGCTTAACATTTCCATCATTTGGATTTTTATCGTTTTCGTCGACATTTTATTCATTGTTTATTACCTATATTGATAGTTAAAACATGTCACTTATCTTATACCTAAAAAATATACACTTTTACTATGTTCTAATTAGGGATGGGATCGAATTCAATATCTTTTGATTCGAAAAAAACTTAAAATATCTAGTAAAATATTCACAAAAGATTCGAACATATTCGTTTCAGGTTCGAGTTCACTTGAAAATAATACCGTTGTTCTTCGAATTGAAGTACTTAAAGTGTGTTCGAAACCATTTGATCCAAATTCGAACCTATTTGAAAGTACTGCTCTTATTTTTCAAAAATCCACTTAGTTCTGACTTTTGATACAATTTGATACTTTCATAAATCGCGATAAACTCGGAACAAAATAATATAATTTAATAATATAATAGGTTGCTTAGATTATATATAAAATTAAAAGTAACAGAATTGAATAATTTGAAATTTTTGAAACTTTGATTCTCTCTCTCGATCCACGTAAGAAATATATTGAACTTCCCTTTTTTAGATATTTAGGTATAACCGTAAATAATTTTACATTGTCCAATCCTCGAAGCAATCTATTCGTTGTAAATTTAAATAACTGACATTTTAGTCATTTTTCAAGTGCGCTGCCCCCGTGTATTCACGGAGCTAAATGACTGACATTTTTTATTTTACTAGCGACTAGTATACGTTTTTAAATGTACCATAGAAAGTTTGTAAAACTGAAATATTTTAATATTGGTTCAGTCAATTGGCCAGAAAAACAAGCCGATTTACTGATCTATTTAAAAATAGACAAAGTCTTTGCTTAATCTTGACTAGCCGCTAATGAAAGAAAAGATACCGTGCTGTGCAAATCTAATAATGATAGCTTACAGCTTTCGAATACCAATGGACACTCTTGCACGTCGAATGGAAACTTCTCTAAACGGAGGCCGCAATTGAGGGTGGTTTCCAGTCTGAAATTCAAGCAAACGTCCCGTAATCGATCTGTCGCTGGTTAGTGAAAATTTATAAAAGAAAAAAATAAGAGGAAGATTGAAATAAAGATTCGCCCGGGTGCATCTTTCGCGAAGTGCGCGAGATACACTTCGAGATTGAATTATTACCTAGTGTTTAACATGACCATCCCATGAGAGCTGATGGAGATAAGTAGATCTTTAACGCCGTTCCCCATTACGGCCGAAGTACGCTCGTTGGCGACGTACACGGTAGGCGTCCAAATCAGCTCGTGAGCGTTCTGACCGCCATATATTTGAGTCAAGTAAGGAGCTATGTTCGCAAATTTCAGCCGTTTATCCAAATATCGAAACTGCAGCATTAGATGCACGTCAAATTGCTGCAATACACAGTTTATTCCTTCTCTATTATCATTCTTTGGTACAACGCTTATATACTATGCGTTATCTGCGAGACAGAGATACGTATAGAAGTAAAATTGTACAGGTACCAGAGTTTTGGCCATGTTGGACTTTATCGTGTAGATAGAAGCTCTGGTGTATATTCTAATCGGATCCGTCTCGTTAATCACCCCGGGCGGCCTGACCATCTTGTCGTAACGACACTCATTCGCCAATTCTTGCAAAAGTTCCGTTTGCGTCATGGAACTGCCGAACGATGGGCAATTTCCCGATCTGAAATAACCGAGTTGGATTTGCATCAAGTATAAGACATTAACTATGTACCAGAATCCGTCGTGTACAGTTAACGAATTTGCACCTAAATTACATCTCTCCCCGATTGCGCTTTAATATCGAGCCCAATAAAGGCTCGGGCGAAAACATGATCTCGATTGATTTAAATTGAATGTTGTCGCGAGATAATCTGAGATTTCTGTAAAACCTGTTTGAAAATGAAAATTGAATCGACAGTTCTGGGATTATTATAACAGAATAAATATACCACGCGATTTTTATAAGTGCATCCAAAAAACATTTGTAAATAGGGAAAATATGTTAATTAATATTGTATAAATACTTAATCGCAGGCTGAAAACGGTACAAAAGTTCATACATTGCACAAACCACACATTGGGCTACCTACATCCTGCTCGGACCGTAACGGCGATCCTACTTCTTATTAAAATCATAACACAATAAGTACAATTAAATTCCCCAACTCGACGATTATTCTCTTCTTGTTGCATTTTTTTTTGTTGAACGACATAATTTGATACTGGCAGGAAGGAAATGCGCAAGTTCCATGAAATTGAAATGCAATAGAAATTATAACGATGGACATCATAAATAGCCAATACGCCTAGCTTTGAAAAAGCGACTTGAATTAATATTCTAGACCTCGTTTCCTCGCGCATGTTGTCTCCAAGGTATACTCATTATCTCTTTGTATCGACGTAGGTGACGCATCTACGGAGACAGCACCGAGGGTATAGATAATCGTGTACTGAAACTAATTCCGCTACCATTTGATGCGCACACGACTTCTGTAATAACAATAGAAAATTCACACTCCCATCGCCAGCCGATTGATTACAAGCAGAATTTTCAGATCTTGAGATTCGACGCGCGCGCTGCCAAATTCCGCAAGACAATTGTCCGCGGGAACAATTCCCGTTTCTTCACGATTATAACGATCAGCGTGAAACGGAGTAGCTATTACATCTTGCAAAAGATAATTGGCCTCTCCCGAGCGTGCGTGCTTCATTTGTAAAGAGCACCTCACAAAAGAAACACCGCCGACTGTATTAAGTTCTTATCTCGCAGCTCTGTATGTTACCTGAATTTACAACGTCACAATATCCTCGCCAAATATCATGTTAATAGAAGATATCGGTGTATTTACATATCCTCGCGGAACCGTATGTACCAATCGAGATTAGGGTTAAGCTTCTCTTACGTATTATATGACATGCAAAACGTTGTGGATTGTTCTGAACAATAAACATTTCGGTAGAGCACGTTTCAGTTACCAAAACGTAATCAGAAACAATTTGTGTATCAATTTGTATCTATCTGTATCTGTCACTTTTCGCCTTCATCTTTTCTGTTTTAAAGTGTAGGCAGAATTTCTAAAAGAAATAACCCTTTTGCTATATCTAAGATTCTTTATATTTAAAAAATTATGGTACCTTGCATATGCTTTACGAACTTTTTACTTGAAATCTCTTTCGCTACAGTAGAAATATTATAACAATAGATCAAAATTATATTATGTTTCGAAAAAAAAACATCGCAGTGTAATTTTATTGAAAAAATCGTTTTCAAAATTTAAAACTCACTTTTCCAATGAGATCATATGGTATATCTAGTGAAAAATAATGAAACGTCGAAGCGATGTCAAGTCGACGTAAAATGCATCGAATAGACGTCGACTTGATGTCTTTTCGACCAATCATTTCTCACTGGGATCATAATGCCATTTCTTTTCAAAATAAAAATGTCTTATCAAATGCTCACTTTTCGATGACCTTGCTCCAATTCTTTTGCATTGTATCTAGTCGCGAGTAAAAGAATCGATTGACGACACATTATGCTGCAACGTCGATAAGATATTCCTCTCAGAAACAGACTTTAGTCTGAAAGATTTTTCAAATTTCTAATATTTCATACACGGAGGGAATTTTCTTTCAAAATTTATCCTGAAAATATTGTAATCGCGGGACAACACGGCATTTCGAATAACTTTATGAAAGTGTTTTTTTAATTTTACCATACATTTTACTAGTAATTATACTTAAATGTACATTTTACTAGTAAAATGTATAGGAAATATTAAAAAAAACTCTCATAAAGTTCTTCAAAATGACACGTTGTCCCACGAGTACACGATTTTCAAGGTAAATTTTAAGAGAAAATTCTCTCCGTGTACAGGATCTCGTAATATACATATGTATTATTTTTCTTGTATAATTTTATATTTTACAACAAAATATCAGAATCGATCGATGATGCACAATAAACTATTGTCCCGTTATAAAATGTTTCTTTCTAAACACTTTAATAATCTGAGATATTTTCAAGTTTTTAATAGAAAAGAGGATACTTAACTAATCAAGTTACATGAAAAATATCCGGTAAGACACCTTTTTCGTAAAATATTTGTAATTATAAATAATTATATATATAACTATATAAAATATGTCCAAACACAGAAAACATAATTTAAAAAAATTAAAAAATAATTATAAGAAATGTTTGCGATGTTTTTTTACAAAAAGTGAGATTCGAAGAGAGAAATAAGAAAAAATTGCCCATCTATAATTACTACATGTATATACTATAAGTGTTAATAATCGTATATAAAATATAATTATATATATAAAACATTGTACAATAATTGCAATTTTACTTCCTGTAAAAGAACAATGCGAAAGTTATTTTTCTAATTATTTTTCAGTCTTCTTATTATTTCCATATATAGTTTTATATAAGAAAAAACATGTGCGTGCGTGCATGTGTGTAAAAATTATACATAAAATACGTTCTCTCTCTATAGATTTTCTTCATATAAATTTTTCCATGAACAATTTGTGTTTACCGGGTAAATACACATATTTATATACTCTGCCACGTTTCTTAATCTGTGTGCTATTCCTCCTTGATTTCTATTCGACTGGTCTCACATATATTGCCAATTGATAATTGATACATTTAGAATAAGCATCAAGTTACGATATATTTAAGCGAGTGAGTCGGCGACGATAAGATCGCATGTGCGTACGCGATAGAAAGTGTGATAAAGAGAGAGCCCGATAAAAGAGCAAAAATTAAATTTGAATACCGGTATTTGTACAGGTGTTAATTGGATTCGATGCTTGTTTACCGTCGAAATAAGACGAATCTGTCCTCACGTGGGCATGTAAATGAGCGATAGTTCACATCTCGCGAGCGTTTCGTTAAACGGCTTTTGTCAAAGCTGTCATTATCGCCTCGTCTCGACGGAAGTTACGACGGAGAAAAGAGAGACCGGAGATCTTTGCGGCACGCAAAAAAAAAACCCCCCTCCGGGATCCCCTTTTCGTTCCCCCAATATAATTTACGATATTACTCAGATTCTTTTAACGACGACCGGTAGTCAATTGCACTTACGAGGAACCGAAGGTCAAACGTTATGCACTAATAAGTTCGAAAGCAGCTATAAAATTTTGCAAGGTTGAAAATAAGTTAATTGAACAAATTTTACCTCACCGCGTCGCGTTTCCTTACAATCGGACGGGCAATCGCGCACGTCCGACTTACGTAAAAAAGATATATTATTTCCGCGGGCGGGAAAACGAGGATAAAGATCGAACGTATTGGATTTTCCTTTTTTTTTTCCTTTTTTTCCCACTGTTCCGTAGTATTTTTTCAGTGTGGAAGGATAATGACGAAAGCGACGGCGCACGCGGTTTTGCGAAATTTATGGAAGCATATATCTTGCAAAAACCACCAACACGTGACATTACTGAAAGAATCGCTTTGCACTCGATCGTTTTTCACGGCAGGAATAAGAGTTTCGAGTGTCCGTTAAAATTCTATCATTCGCGTTAAACGTAAAGATTTAAATGAAACCAAGTAAAGCGCCTCGTGTAACATTTTTAGATTCAAATCTGAATTATATTGATTTAATTTTTTATAATATATCAAATCTTGTATATCGAGATATACAGACGTGCACTTGTATGATCCTTATCTTTTTTTTCTGCGTTCTGTCTGTAAGAAAACAGTCTGTACGTTATTGCAAACCACGCCTTGTCCTTCGCGATCGCTGGCATTATATATATATTTTTTAGCCTTTCTTCTTTCTTCCTTGCCATTAGTATATAAATAGAATTAATTGTGCAGCTTACACTGTGGTTGCGTCTGCAAGCAACGGCATACCCGATAGATAAACGCAGAGTATCAGGACGAAGACCCTTTTCCGGAGGATCATTCTCAAGTACCTTTCTATCACTTAACAGCACCGCTAATAGATTCCGACTGATCCTTCCTTATGATCCGTGAATGTGGTCGGGCGAGCAAATTTACTGAAAACCAGACAGCCAGAGCAAAGCTCGCTCCCACTCTCTCATGGTGCTCCTCCAGACTTGCTTGAACTCGCATACATATACACGTACACACGCATATACACGCGTATACATGCTACATTCTCGTGCAGCAACTTGTGACATCAATGCACACATTAATTATATGTCTAAGACTTACAATGTAGATTCTCGTGCTCATCCATAATTGTGTAAATTACACACGATCGTTTAACACCAATTCAACGCGCGATTTTAATATCAGATACCGCTAAGTGGCTTGCCGGATCCCCGGAATTCATCTGCAACCATTTACTCGCATTGGGAAAAAAGATGCTACAAGTTCTATATAATCCATGAATCATATTTCTGTGTAATGAAATTTCTTTCTTATCTCCATGAACACCTCGTGAACTTGTAAGCTTTATCACGGCGTGATTGCACATACAGATACATTCTCGTAGCATTCACCTAGTATTATCACATTATTGTACGACTTACCGCAAAGATAAAATCTATTTTAAAATTTATAATTCGTAATTTAAAACACACAGATAATGGTTTAAAATCAATACAAGTATATCCATTTATGGAACAAAAGTAAAAAAAAATAGAATTTACAACTTACATATACATATATAAATTCCTACATATACTATACATTATATGTATGTAATATATGTATACGAGTATATATGTATTATTTAGGCATGTAATTTATTTAGTCAATTGATATAATATCAGGTTTCATACAATTATAAGTGTAGGATAACAAGTAAAGATCTTGCAAAAGTTTTGTTAATCTTTTAAAATGTCTGTCAGTATAGGGAATAGTAACTTCTAGAGTAGAAGCTAAATCCAATGTCTGTAACTCCTGTATCCCCATTTCCGTTATTAAGGCATTTATAATCTCCTAAAAAAATAACAAGATTGCAAGGTGAACAGCATTCAACGATGTTTGTGCACATGTATTCTCTTTGATACATCAGAAATTTTTGAAAAAGAAACTAGAAAAATTCTAATCAAATTATAAAATCTTTAACACACGCGCACATACATACATACACACACACACACACACACACACACACACACACACACACACACACACACACACACACAACTATTAAAACTATTTAATTTTTCTATATAATAAATTATTAAATTTACTATGAATAGAAATTTATTCATACCTGAGCAACATGTGAATTTCGGCTATTCATGTTCCATGTGACTGCACATTTGAGTAACGCTTTCTTGCGAATTGGTTTCAATTCCTTTATTATTTCAACAAACTTGTGCCCTTTCTTCAATATGACTGTTACAAAAAAAATTATAATAATTTCACAAAAATATGTATATGCATATGCAGGCATATAGGGATGTACGCATATATTGATAGATGTAGCAGACACAAGGAGACATCACTGTTTAATACGAATAATTGTACCTTCTACAATCTTGAGAACTTGTAACGGTCGCTCCAGCTTTAATGCCAATTGTAACGCAGCCTGGAGTTGTTCAGCTTTGAGTAGGTTGGCCAGATTTTGTTCCTCGAGCACAAGCTGCGCTTTTTCCGACGCGGCTTGCGCCTTTCTCTCTTCGGTTACATCTTTCCAAATAACCAGCAACGAATCACTACCTCCGCTGATAATGTGTTTCTCATCTTTGGTGACTGCACAAGAAAAAGAATCAAGGTCAGAAATATATATCTATATATGTATTTATTACAATACTGATTGGATTTTCACGCGCTTGGATATCAAGTAGGCTCACCTGCGAGTGTCCAAATGTGGCTTTCATGTTGGTGCAAAGTAGATATGCACTCGGATGTTTTAATATTCCACAATTTCAGAAGACCGTCTCCGCCGGATGTAATTAGTTGCATACCGCGAGACAGAAATTCTCCTCTTAAGACGGAAGATTCGTGTCCTTCAAACGTCTGTGACAAGAACAGGAGCAATTAGATTATAATTAGATCTATAAGTATCTCAAGAAAAAAAAAGTAATTTATAAATTTTTTTTAGTAACCTTCAGACAATTGAGTTCCGTTAAAGACCACAGTTTCATGGTACAGTCGGCGGACGTTGTTAAAAGCACTTGATCAATCGGCGAGAATCGGGCGCACCATACACCTCTCCGGTGGCCGTGAAAAACGCCGAGCAATTGCAAATTCTCCGCGGACCATAGCTACAGATAATCATCATAATTTTAGAGTTATTAATACATATACGTGAAATAAATTTAATTATGCAATGGCATACCTTAGCAGTCTTATCTTGCGACGCTGTAGCGATCAGTTTGTCATTTGGTGAGATAGTTACATAGTTTATCTCTTTCTGGTGCGCTAATATTGTACAGCTTGTATTTAATGATAAAGCTTGATCTGTAGGCATTAAAGATTATCTCAATACATACACACTATGTATATACTATGTATGTACATATATTGTGTCTTTATAAAAAATGATACGTTCATAATTATTGTTGTATATCATGTATTTATAATAAATATATGGTGTGTATGTGAAGCTGGCGTATCATTTGGCGGAAACTCGCAAACAATTGAGAGTTTCGGTTTCCTTTTCAAATCTTTATGACAACGTAATAAAATAAAAATTAAGATTTTATTTATTTAAATTTGCCTGCATTATTTTTGAACTCCAGACACGTGTTTTATAGCCAATATTATGCATATATTCACGTGTTGTGAATCAGAGTACAATGTTTGTTTTATTAATTAGAAATTAACTAGGAATTGAATGAGATGAAGTTCTATACATGCAATCTTCTTATTTAAGAAATCATACTCTCTGATTTACCATGTGACGTGAGATTGTTGGGTAATTCCCACAATTTCAGGCACGAATCTTGAGCAACAGTGGTGAAAAATTTAGGTAGTGTTTGAGATAATGCAACAGAACTGATCGATGCTGTGTGTCTAACGGCGTATCCAATGCAAGACATCTTTGTTGTCTCTTTATCCAATAGCCATACGCGGGCACTATTATCCTACAATAATAATTTTCTATAACGTACATATCAATTAAACACAAGATGATTTCTCTTGTATAGTATGGAGATACTAAATAATCTAAATAAGTGTGAATAATTTTAGATTTTAGACAAGAGTATTTTTATCGAAAATTAAAGAAAAGTTTATCATATAAACATACGCTTACATCCATCCCTGAAGAGATATACTCCTCCAAACAGGGAAGTAAAAATGAAATTTTTTCCTCTTTCAGACTTTACAAAAAAAAAAAAAAGAAATTTAGTAGAGACTTTCTACAAATAAGAAAGATGCTTATCAGTATTTTTTAATCCTTCTGTATTATACATATAAGGGAATAAAACTAGCAACCCCTATTTAATTTTTTATTAGAGCTTTTTAACGGTGTGGAACATAATTATTTAAAAATATCGGAGGATTTAAAAAATATTGATAAGTTTCCTTCTTATTTGTGTGTAAATAAAAAAAGTATGAGAAACATTGTAATTGGAAATGATAAATTGATATACTATCCTGAGCGCTGTTATTATACACATATTATTAAAAAATATGATTACCTTGGAAGAAGACACGAGCAAATTTACATTCGCCGGGGTCGTGGCTAGTGCCAAAACGCTGTCAGTATGACCGCACAATAATTGACAATTCATAGTGTCAATTTCATAAAGTTTTATGTCGCAACTGTTGGTCGCGAGTGCGATGTGACGGTCATCATCTCCGAGATACGCAACGTCTAGAATTTCATCGCTGTAGCCTACCAGCTGACGTAATTTTAAATTAGCATTGATATATAATTTTCGTGCAATTTTATACAAAGTAATTTTATACCCACTTGTCTTTTACACTCGAACAACTCCAACGAGTGAATAATTATGTTATGATCGACAGACACCACCGCGAAGATATTGTAGGCGCTGTTGTAAAATAAATGCGTAATCGACAAGCCCCCTTCCTCCTTGGCCGGCGGCACTAAAGAATTATCCTGCGCATAAATCTGCTTGCCCGTTTTCATCTCCCAGATTTTAACGACACCTGGAAAATTCGTCGTATTAAATTATACGCTCTCTTGTTACGCACACGTAAGAAAGCATAAGCCATACTCGACTTGTAGTACCTTTCTCGCCAGCCGAAGCAACGTATACGTCGTCGCTTTTACGCGACTTAATAAATGCCGGCAGACATTTCGCAGGTATCACGAAAGTCCCCTCAATACCTTCGTACACTGGTAAAATGCGTATTGATATTCCAGATGATACGTCCCACAGGATTAGCACTCTATCTCTTCCCGAGCTGTGGATACATTTACATTTGCATTTGCCGTCGTTTACATGATATATATCTCTCTATTACCTGACCAAATAATTTCCATTTTCGTGAAAGCTAAGCGACGTGACTTTACTATAGTGTCCGGAGAGAATAACCCTCTCTTGTCCAGTAGTGATATCCCAACCATAGATCTTTGTGTTGTCGCCGGCACCAAACAAAAGTGATTTTTCGCTATTCGGGTGAAATTCTAAAACGCTAAACAAAAATGAAAAACAGCAATATTAAGTCGTAGCAATATATCTTAAGATGCGGTGTTTTATTCTACACATACTATACGTTACCTGATTACTCCCTGCATCCCTTTGAGACTGTGTGTACACGCGTGATGTTGTAAATCCCACAACCTGACCGTCCCATCGCTTCCACCAGATGCCATTAAAACGTCACTATTTGAAAGAGCTATCTGCATTACGGGTCCCTTATGAATAGATTTCCATAGTTTTGTTAACTTACTAGCTGCAACGGGCATAAATGACAGACGACAATGTGAAAGTGCTGCGCAGAGAAATTAAAGACGATATAAATACAAATTTGATAAACTACTTTGCCAATTCCACAATTTGAACAATCCACTTTTATGATGAGTAATTATGCCTGCATCGTCGTTACAAAGAACGAAGCAATTTATCGTATCCTCCTGCTGATCGGCTTCCGTTACACCCAGTGACGATATCACAGAGCCTTTGTTCACAGATATTACGGATACAGTGCCTCCTTTTTGGCAAAATAGATACTCCGCGTTCGCATTCCACTGAAACAAAAGGTCGCATTGTAGGTACAATTAAACAAATGCATTCTTTGGAAACCCACTTGTATGTTGCCGCCAGTATAAAACGCTCCATGCCTGCATTCCACCTCGAATCTGTAAATATAACGCAAGGACAATTATCAGAGCAGAGCACACGTGTTAAAAAAGAAAATAATTTAGTGCATGCACGTTTGGGTGACGTATCGGGACAAAATAATACTTACGTCTCCTTAAGGTTAGCTTTGCTCATTTTTTTTACTATTACCCAAGAAAAGTTAATTAATTTTTTAACCGAGTTGTATTTATGCCAATCTACTGAACAGATCAAACACACGTGCGTGCAGCATCTTTGACCATATAACTACAGACTGTCAGTTACCTCCACTTTTCCTATTCTAACACGTGATCAACATTTTACGCGCGCTGCCACAGATTAAATGGCAGAAAATGGAAACACAAAGTCAGATTATAATGGTAAAACAGGAAAGAAGAACGTTGCGCTGTTTTATCCTGTTTAGCAGAGTTCAGAACCACTTAGAATCAGGGGTGCTTTCGCGACGTAGATCAAAATGATCCGGATCATAATGATCCGTGCTATGATTGGTCAAATCTGGAATTTCATTGAATAAAATTTCAATGTGATGCTACGAAATTTCAGATTTGACCAATCATAGCACGGATCATTTTGATCCGGATCATTTTGATCTACGTCGCGAAAGCACCCCAGGGGCTCGATTCTTCAATTTATTCCAAGGAGAAACATATGCAAAAATTCTGCTCTTACAGAAAAGCTGCAAGTCGATTGGCTACTCGCGTGGCTTTAACCAATCGAGTTTCAGCTTTTCTGTCGGAGCAGAATGTTCGTGTACGTTTCTTCTTCGAATGATTTCAAGAATCGGGCCCCAGGTTTGTTGGAAATTAATATTTATTTTATGGTGTAACATCAACTTTTCAAGAGTGATTCAATTCGTCAGGACTCGAAAAGGATTCTACATCGTACCCCTGGTCCACAATCTTGCTTTAAGTAATAGCGGTTTCGATTTTCTGACTCGACCCGATCCAGAGTCAGAAAAGTTTGATTAAAGCAAGATTTGAACCACAATTTCTACAAAAATCTTACTTTTGATCAAACTTTTCTGACTCGGAGTCGGGCCGAGTCTGGTCGAGTCAGCAAATCGAAAACGCTATGTGATTGGTCAATCTTTTACAGCTTAAGGCTTACTTTACGGCTCAAGCCGCAGAAAAAAATTGACCAATCGCAGTCTAGAGTGAGGAGAACAATCGCCTGCGATTGATCAATTTCATACGGCTTAAGGCTCGACTACGCACTTATTGTGGACCCGGTCTTACGGTGGTTAAATCGCCCGCTGTGGTTGGCAACGCTGCGGGCCTAACCTGTCAGAACCGGAGCAGCGGATCCGCGGTAGTAGGTAATTTTTTGAGCACCGTACGTTGGTTCGCTCGGGTTTCATCGTCGCGCTCATTGTCGTCACAGGACGTGGTCGGGCACGGGCACGGACGGCGAGTTCCCGGGTGGCAAATTTCCCGTGAGGAGTGGTGTAGAGTCATATCGAACGAGTGCGGAGCGAAGCGGTACCCGTCGTGCATTTTCGTTAAAGGAGTCGTTCCTTGGCCGTCCTCTCGATCCTGTTATGCGGTGAACAATCGGCAGGTGAGAGCGCGTGTTTTTCCTCGAGTGTCTCACGAGCCCCCCTCCCTCCCTCCGTCCCTCTTCTGTCCTCAACGCGGTCGTTTTTCGCTTCACGAAAGATAAAAAAAATGGTGCGCGCACCGAGAACGCGAGTAGGCCTCTATTTCGACACCTCTCTCTCTCTCTTTCTTTCTCTCTCTCTCTTTCCGTCGCGCTCCCTCGCTCTACGTGCCTGCCTGCGTGTGTGAAGTATGTGTGTGTATGTGTCTGTTTCTCTCTCTCACTCTCTCTCTGTCTGTCTGTCTGTATGTCTGTCTTAGTCTCTCCAAAGGAATGAGTCGTGCATCACACAATGTAACGGAATTCGTCAGTTAACCTTTCCCTTTCACAAAGCTCCTTGCCTCCGATGAATTTGGAGTTTACCTCGATATAAACATCCGGTCCGACTTGGGACACGCTGACGCGCGTCGCTTGGCTCTCCGGGGCTTTTGACATTTTTCGTTCCCGTGGAAATGTTCCGCGCGAGTACTTCGGTAGATAACGCGAACGCTCGTTATCGTCGGATGCGCGGTATTGGCCGCGGAAAAGCGATCTTCTTCCCCGGGCCAGTATTTTTTGGCCTGCCGTGAACCCGCACCTCGAGTCGTTGCGCGTGAAACGTGCACGTGCGATTAAATGAGTCCCGTTGGAAGGAGGAATGTCCAGTTGTTAAAATTTACCTTCACTTCCGCAGGTATTATTGCATATAATAACGGTGACGCTCACTCGACAAGCATACAGGAACAGGATGTCAGGCCACAGAGGCGGAGGGGCTGGAAGTCATCAAGGTGGTCCCCCAGGCCTTAAGCAGATCGATTTGGATCAGATCTGGGGTGATCTGCGCGAGGGCATAGAACAGGTCTACAATCGGCAGTGTATGTCGAAGCCGAGATACATAGAGCTCTATACGTATCCTTTATATCGCGAGAGGACATTTCGCCCTCCGTTCTCCTCCACTCCTGTACGCGGATTGTCGTGTATTTTCCTATTACAACGTGAAATCTCTGCAGACATGTATATAATTACTGCACCAGTGTTCATCAGCAGTCAACCAGGACTTCGACGAAGAGCAAAAAGGGACAGATTCAGCAAGGAGGTGCACAGCTGGTTGGCTTGGAGCTGTACAAACGTTTGCGTGACTTTCTTAGAAATTATCTAATTAGTTTGCTGAAGGTAGGTACACGCGCACGTTGCGCGTACGATCGAAAAGAATTTTCAACGAGTCGCATAATATGTACGAGACGAATCGTTCGTAGCACGGGGTGGATTTGATGGATGAGGATGTGCTCCAATTCTATACGAGACAGTGGGAGGAATATCAGTTCAGTAGTAAAGTGTTAAACGGCGTATGTGCGTACCTCAATCGCCACTGGGTGCGAAGAGAGTGTGAGGAAGGTCGCAAAGGGATTTATGAAATTTACCAATTAGCCTTGGTCACTTGGCGAGATAATTTATTTAGACATTTAAATAAACAGGCAAGTAGTATCCTTGCACAAGCGTCAAGTATCCATGCGTTTGTTGTGCACTAGTGACAATTCTTGTGCTTCCTTCCAGGTTACTAATGCCGTGCTGAAATTAATCGACAGAGAACGCAACGGCGAGACGATAAATACTCGATTAGTCAGCGGCGTCATCAATTGTTACGTAGAATTGGGTTTGAACGAGGAAGACCCGGGTGCAAGGGGGCAAAATTTAACAGTGTATAAAGACTCGTTTGAGAATATCTTTCTGGAGGATACGGAGCGATTCTACACGAATGAAAGTCTCGAATTTCTTAGACAAAATCCTGTTACAGAATACATGAAAAAGGTATCTCTACAAAAGAGAGCGTTATTGAGTAGTCCGGGAAAATATACTTTACTTTTCTTTGCGCCTCTTTTGTGCAGGCGGAACAGAGATTGTTAGAAGAACAGAAGCGAGTGCGCGTTTACCTTCATCAGACGACTCACGAGCGATTGGCAAAGACGTGCGAGAAAGTACTTATCGAGAAACATCTGGATATATTCCACGCTGAATTTCAAAATCTTTTGAATGCTGATAAGAATACGGATTTGGGTAGAATGTACCAGCTAGTTGCAAGAATACCAAATGGCCTTGGGGAATTGAGAAATCTTTTAGAAAGTCATATCGCCAATCAAGGTCTTGCAGCTATAGATAAGTGCGGAGACTCGGCAGCTAATGTATGTTTTTGTTTTTGTTAAATTTAGAGTAACTACACCCGCACACGTGGGCTATCGTGAATTGTCCAAGTGGCTTGACCTACATTTTCATTCGCAGGATCCGAAAATTTATGTGAACACGATCTTGGAGGTGCATAAAAAGTATAATGCTTTAGTACTGGTCGCATTTAACAATGATAGCGGCTTTGTTGCTGCGCTGGACAAGGCTTGCGGACGGTTTATCAATAGCAATTCCGTCACGAGGGCAGCAAACAGCAGCAGCAAGTCACCTGAATTACTTGCCAAATATTGCGATCTGCTGCTTAAAAAGAGTAGTAAAAATCCGGAAGAGGCGGAACTTGAAGATACTCTTAATCAAGTTGTAAGTGTATGATGAATTTTTTTTATCTCTGAATTCTTTCAACAAAGAAACCGTGTTAACCGCAATTTATGTTTCTTTGCAGATGGTAGTTTTCAAATATATTGAAGACAAAGATGTCTTTCAAAAATTCTACAGCAAGATGTTAGCCAAACGATTGGTCCAACATATGTCTGCTAGTGACGACGCAGAGGCTTCCATGATCTCAAAGTTAAAACAAGCTTGTGGATTTGAGTACACTTCAAAATTACAACGCATGTTCCAGGTAACACAACATATTATTTACTTACGCAAGAAGTTTGTGAAATACGATCTTAAACTTTTCTATCCTACATCGATTAAAATTTGCCGTGTAAAGGATATAATATATCTGTAAATATTTAATCAGCTACATTTTTTTACAATTTTCTATTAAGATATAAATGTAAACTGATTTTTTTCGAGCAGGAGTAGAAACTTTGGAGAAACACACTTTTATGAAAATTTATCAAATAGCTCTGATTATTTAGCAAGATAACTTATTTAAGCATTTAATTAGACAAGTGAATAATATTCTTGCAAATATACATATATTACATTTGTACGTTGAAATGTAAAATCTATACTCTCTCAGACTACTAATACAGTGATTAACCCTTTCATGCTCACTGAGACATTACGAGTCCCATTTGCATTTTTTATTTTCGTGTTTCCTTAGAATGCTAGTGCTTATAATATCTCTTATAGTTTATGCTGTCGTCTGGCAAGAACATGTATAACTATTTAAAACTGAAGAAACATTTGGTTGGTGCTAACAGATTCAAATAATTTTTATAATGTAAAAGTTTGAAAGATTAATTCAATAGATAATAGAAACACTTTCAAAAACTAATTCCTTATTTTAGTAGTTTAGTCTACAGGTTGCTTTGTAATTTCTTCACAGGACATTGGTGTTTCAAAGGATCTGAACGAGCAATTCAGGAGGCACTTAACAAATTCTGCCGAGCCTTTAGATATAGATTTCAGTATACAAGTTTTGTCTTCTGGTTCATGGCCATTCCAACAGTCTTTTACATTTTCTTTGCCGACCGAGGTAAAACGTGCCCATAAATGTTGATCTTTTCGTTTTAGGACCTTCGCCGATTACTTACTCACAATTTTGCTTCCTCATAGAGGAAGCTTTGTTTTCATGCGAAATTGTTTAATTTGCAGCTGGAAAGATCTGTACATAGGTTCACTACTTTCTATAGTTCACAGCACAGTGGCAGAAAGTTAAATTGGTTATATAATATGTCCAAAGGGGAGCTACATACAAATTGTTTTAAGAACAGATACACGTTGCAAGCATCGACTTTCCAAATGGCGGTTCTGTTAGCGTACAATGGCGCTACATCGTGGACAATACAACAGCTGCAATTTGCAACACAGATAAAGATGGATTTTTTACTACAGGTAACGTGATCTAATTGTGAGGTGTCTAGGTAAGGCAATGTAAAATACTAACGGTTTTTTTTTCGCGCAGGTTATTCAGATACTCTTGAAAGCCAAGCTTTTAACCGCAGCTAGCGATGATGTAGCTGAACTGACCCCGTTATCGACGGTAGAACTTTTTACGGGATACAAGAAGTACGTTACATTACTGTTATATGTATACGTGTCTAACTATATCATTTATAGCAATTGTTACAACAGTACTTGTTTATTTAACAGCAAAAAATTAAGGGTAAATATTAATATACCGATGAAGACGGAGTTGAAGGTTGAACAGGAGACTACGCACAAACATATAGAAGAAGATAGGAAACTTTTAATTCAGGCAGCAATTGTTAGAATTATGAAAATGCGGAAAGTATTGAAGCATCAACAGCTGGTGGCGGAAGTATTGAACCAATTGAGCTCTAGATTCAAACCCAGAGTGCACGTCATTAAGGTGAGTTTATTCATTAAAAGAACCGTTTTGTTCGCAACATCCTCATGCATATGTTATATCTTTAAAAATTCCACAAGCATAATATTACTGATTTAAGTAAATATAAAGATTATACGGCAACAATATCAATGTTTCAATAAGATTGAATATTTTTCTTGCAGAAATGTATAGATATTTTAATTGAAAAAGAATATTTGGAACGCACAGAAGGTCAAAAGGACACTTACAGCTATCTGGCATGATCAGGCCAACGATACAGCAACAAAAACAAAATAAAAATAACATACATACACACTCATTCACCCATCCACTCTCATTTATATACTACGTATCAGACTTATTTATTTAAGGTTTCAAATATAATTCCCTATTTTTATTCTGTACATGAATACCTTTGTACCATACTGTCATTCTGGTCGCATTTAGAAAGTCTGGCTTTTTATATATCTCTTAAAAGATATATGGGTACAGCGTAAAAGATGTTAATAAAATTATTTCGTAATTATTAGTCAATGCTAGGTGTGTTACTGTCTGTGCTGGTTTTTAAAACAAGGCGAATACCGCTTTGCTATAGTGTCACAAGCATCATTTAAGATTTTAGATAATCTATAGAGAATTACATAAAAATTATACAAAAAAAAAGAAAAATGTATTTTCATTGCATTATTAACACCAATATTTTCCAGTCTTGTAACTGAAGATATTGAGAATAATTTATTTTTTACAAACTGAAAGGAGCGTGTTGTAAATGTGGAGAAAATAAAAGAAATGTTATGTCCACTATGATATATATAAAGAAAGATTATTATAAATTGTAATTGGTTATACGAAAAGAATCAACTTCATACCTACACACACATTACACAAACAAGAAAATGTATAATAAAAGAATGTACAAAATTTTTGCGAGCACATAGATAGTAATGCATTTTAGCAAAAAAAAAGTCCAACTTTTACAATAGACATATATAAGCCAGAAAATTTTATAACAATACATGTAAAATTCGATCATAATCATAGCAATTCGAATGTTTTTGCGCGATAGCATAATTACGTCAACTCTGCATGTCCTAGATAGAATATTTGAAATTACAAGAATAAATCTGCTTAAGACTTCTTTTCAAGAGTATACTAACACCAATTCATGCGATTAGCAGTCGCTAAAGAAAAATCAACATTTTACAAAATTAAATTTAGAGTATAATTTTTTTCTGTGTAAAATCTGGAAGAGGATGATCTTGATTATATTTTGGCCGAAACAGGATTTGAAGATTAACTTAATCATTCATCACAAAATTTGTTTATATGTTTGTAAAATTTTTGTTGCTCTGGCAAAGAGTTGCAAGAAACGCTTGATGTTCGTGCAATATGGAAACAGTAAGAATATTTATGGTATAATAGGATTTAAAAAAGAAAAAGTATATATATATAAACGAGTAATAAACGTAAGCTGCAAGTGGTGCTTATGTGAATCTTTTAGCGAATTCGATTGTTTCCGCTGAGTGCACGCTAACGCTTATTCATAGTCGATTCTTAGTTTAAGGTCGTCTTAAATACACGTTCGAAAACAAGTCAAAAAAGTATCCGTACGGATGGTGTTCAGATGATTGTTTTGATTAAGAAGTACTTCAAGAGATATTCAAAACGACCCTTAAATATAAGAATTTACTGTAAACAAGCCTTCGTGCGCGCTCAGTGCGCACTAGTGCAAGCAATCGAATTCGCTATTAACTTTAGTGCCCTCAATAAGGGTAAAAAAAGAGTTGTAGATCCTGTAATTATATAAGTGCTCACAATGGTTACGATCATCTCGAGATTGAGTTTTAAAACTCAATATGTATAAAAGTGAACGAAAGAGAGAGAGTAAGCAGGTAGAATTTTTAAGTATATGTATCATGATCCTAGGTATTCAAATATTAATGACATTTTTTCATGGCATATTGTCGATGATAAAAACCTGAAGAGCGAGAGGAATAAATTGAGAATTATAATTACATTATATTAACATACTTGCCAGCAGAGAGTGAGTAGCAACATCTACATATTTAGCTAACAGAAACATTAACTTAATGTATTTTAATAAAATGTACTGCGAATATTTCTTTTTCAAATTGCGAGAGCATTAACCGTAATGTTATTCGAGTTATAGGTTGTGCAGAGGGATACAGGCTATATCATACAGTCTTTATCCATGTACTTGTGATATTTGCTAATATTTAATTTCTTTGTGAAAAAGAGAGCAATTTTGACGAATTGTTTGCGAAAATAAGTTTGTTCGCTTTTTTTGTAAGTTTAGACATGTATTACGATATACGTCACCTAGATCAAGGATTTACAATCCTCTTGTCGCAAAAGAAACACTAATATTCATATGTATCACCCACTGAAATATCGCTGATAATTTTAATGAGCTGCATATTTTTTTTAAATTCACGTAGCTCGTCGCGCGACACTATTTTGAATACGTCGCGACTATAAAGGCAAATAATGATATTTATATTCGCGTTGGTACGCGGCAAAATCTGAACGCTTCGAATTTTTGTATACTCAGAGTTTGTTGTTGTCAGTTATTATTCTTTGCACTAAACGCAGAAATTGTGTAAATAAACTGAACGAGACATTTGGAAGTGTAAAGCGTAAAACGACTTAGATTTGATATAGTCATGATGGAAATCAAATCGTTTCTTCTCTTTTTTTCGTAGAGCAATCTCTTAATACCTTGCTTTGAAATCTTGGATCAGAGAAATAATAATCAAGCTTTAAATCAAATTTGTTTCGCGAGACGTATGATTTCCATAGCGACTGCAAAGATCTCATTTTTTACGGTTACCCGATACAGATAACCAAGTTTCTCGAGAACAGATATCTTAAGACCAGTTTCGTAAACGTCGGTTAACTGCTATTCGAAGGCAAATTGATTCAGTCTCTTCTTTGATAAGAAGATAGAAAAAGATAGGGAATCGACTGAACTCTGGTTAACAGTTAACTGGCCCTGAGGGCCAATTTCACAAACGTCGGTTAACCAGAGTTAAGTCACAACTCCCTATTTTTTTCTATCTTATGTAAGAGACAGAGAATCAATTAACCCTTGGTTAGCAGTTAACCAACGTTTGTGGAGATTGGCCCTTGAGCTGATGACAGAGATCCGTAAACGTTTAAGGCCCGATTTCACCAAACGTCGTTTAACTTTAATCTTAGTTTCATGGTTGTCTCTTTCTAAAGTAACAGAAAGACAAAGTACGAGTTAAGCTAAACAACGTTTAACTTTAAGTTAAACAACGTTGGTGAAACCGAACCTAAAACAGTCTCAAGTGTTTACGGATCGTTCTTTGCCATCAGTGGATGGCAATCAGCCTTACAGTGTTCGCGACATTTTAACAGAAAGGCTACAGATTTGACGCGAGACTTAATTGTTGCACGCAATGTCCCTGACACGTTACATTAGCAGGAATATAACAGAACTTGCTAACAAAATATGACGACAGCAATCGAACATCTGTAGGATGCAGATACATCGTCATGCTATGTTTGTAAGGTCTGTTAGTACAAGTTTAATGCAAATACCTGGCTACATTTCATATCAATCTGCTGCAATTTTCGCTCAAATCTGTTGCCTGGCTGGTATTGATTTATACTTAACTTATTGGATATGTTGAAAAAGAAATCTGCAAATCCTTTTACGGTCTATTTAATCAGATATGCATTTGCTACTTTATATGAAGTCGATGAATTGCTGTAAACACATCACGCATGTGGAATGGAACGGAAACAATGAAGTAATAAATGTTCGCAGAATTATTAATAAAAAGTAACGATATTTGATGAATCACGAATCTAAGTTTTTTTGACGAAGAGTATTAAATGTCTCGAATCGATTATACTTAATTTTGATATGTGAAATAAATACATGCTTCCTACGAGAAGATGTATATCAAATCTGATTTGTGCTGTAATATATAATACTGTAAAATATAAGCTATAAAATGAGATTAATTTTATCTTTTACACAGTATATAAGTTACCGTCATTCGATTAATGTTTTATACAAAGTTACCCCGAAAGAGGAGCATTTAAGGCTCTCCTCAAAGGAGATTAAAGTGGTCCCAGGTTGTAGATTGTTGACTAGACTGACTAGAGAAACGCCATCACCGTAAACGCTGTTACGATGTATCGGTCACTTTCTGAGGTTTCCATTCTAATAATTTCGCAAAGTCTTCCTTTGTCAAGCTGATTTGCCCATTCGCCATCAAATGCATCTGCAAAAATTATAAAGCTGTAAAGATTCATATTATGTAATGCTGCACAAATAGAACAAGTTAACGATGAAATACGTTTTGTTTCTTCAAATTGTCTACGAGTAGCGTCTGTCTCTTAAACGCTTGCACCAATTCCGCTCGCTGTTTCTTCAAATTTTTCACGGCTAATTTCTTATCGTCTTGTAACTTTCTGACTTGATTTCTCAATTCCTACAAAGTAGACGACGCATCATAAATTTAGATCGTATAGACTTAAATATACCTTATTATACCTTCTCGTCTGTTTGACTGCATTTTAATGCACTTCTGAGTTTCTCGTTGCTTTCCAGAGCTCTGTTTAATCTCACATCGAGATTGGTTGACTGCTGACTCAACGTTCTTGTCTCTTTCTTAAGACTTTCCAAGTCCTGAGAGAAGATATTTGTAAGAGGGCAAGCTAACTTGTGTAGTGTACAGCAAAGGGGACGTGAAAGTACCTTCTTCAAGACAATATTTTCGTTGTTCAAAGCTTGATAGTCCAACAGCGTATCCGAATTCACACGTTCCAACTTCGTAACCGTATCGTTTAACGTTCCTATCTGGCTGCGCAGTTTAACTTGAACGTCATCCAGCTTCTTCCTCTCCACCTCTAACTCTTCGCAATAATCGCACTACGTATAAACGTATAATTTATTTTCATAAGTCTAAGGTTTTATTGAAGCAGTTGCGTGTGTGCTTTAACTCTTTCAAGTGCTCTCTGCGACTAGAAACATTCTATTTTGTAGTCGATAAACACGTTTAAACAATTTGTGCAAGCTGATAAATTGTATATTATACATTGAATAGTCGTGCATTGTCGACAATGTTTTAAAGCGTTTTGATTTGTTTATGTAAAGCAGAATGTTTCTAGGCGCAGAAAGCACATTGTAGACAAAGGCTTAAGGGCCTGAGCAGAATGGCCGTCTTGTAATCTTAAGACAATGTTTTATGTTTCAAATCTTTGTCTTAAAGTAACGGCCTGAACAGAATGGCTGTCTTGTACTCTTAAGACGGCGCTTTATGTTTCAAATCTGTGTTTTAAAGTAACGCACAATAACTGTCTTGTGACTTAAGGATACAAGGCAGCCGTTCTGCCCAGGCCCTGATTTCTACCTAAGTCAACGCGAGCGCCGTGCGACAGAACAATCCCAGTGGGAAATGATTCGTCGATCGATGTCGAAACGATGTCGAGTCGTTTTCTCACTGGGACAGCGGTTGCATCGAGCAGCGAAACAAGAGGAGACGCCACCTTGTTGTTATACTCGAGCTGCACCACTTGCAACTTTTTATACAGCATATCTATCTTGCCCTTCAGCAAAGTGATAACAGCTTTGTCTCCCACGTTACTGTCCTTCCTCGGAATCTCAGCGTCGCCGGTACAGTCTACCGAGGCTTCGGGTACTCTAATCGACGACAGCCTCAATTGTTTGTCCACCCTCGACGCTGCGTCTTCGGAGCGCGCGGTCTTAGCACCCTCCGAATTTGATCGGTTCGCATCGCTGAACAAATTCTCGCCGGAATGTATGATCGACTCGACGGTCCTCATTGCGTCGCGCGTCCGCAGCTGAAGGTCGCGATTCAGCCGGTGAAACTCCTTCTCCTTCGCCAGTAAATCGTCAGACATGTCCCTAAAACAGTGTCGCTTTGTTAAGAAAAGTTATATACGCTTGTAATTGACATGGCAATAATAAAACAATAACTTTCACTAAGAAATACGTCAGTCTGATAATTTGTCTACTCTCAAGTGTGCGTTCGGTTAACGTCAACTTAATCCACCCCCTCATTTAATTGTCTCGTACAATTTTATTATGGTATATTTTATTTGGCTCGACTGGCGTACCTTAATTTTTACGAAAATACATTCGTTGCTTTTTTCTTGTGATAAAAAAAGCCGAGGCCTGAAGAACGAGCGGGAATCGCTTGAAAGCGCCGTTTGCCACCGCGAGAAGAATAATCGGCTACCAAAAGCGACACCTTTGAAGGTTAGAAGACATATTGATGAAATATATATGTGTGCACTACGTCCACGAGCGTGTATGTACCGTAGGACACAACCCTGTTCAAAATAACAGATAGAATGTGATTAGATTAGATTACATTAGGGCTGCGGTCAAACCGCCGCTGCACCGATAAGAATTTGAACCTCATTTTACTGTGAAAATCGGTCGTCACTTTTAACCTTCGAGTTACGCTGCTAAGATACGAAGTGATTTGTAATTTTACTTCAAAACGTTAAAAACCGTTCAAATGAAATTATGTTAAATATTTTTTTCGGTTTACCGTCTGATGTTAAAAATACATCATGATTTATCGTAACATTCCTTGCGCGCACAGCATACTAGGATGATGAAATTCTCTATTGCGCACACTCCACCTTACTGACCCATACAGCACAGAAAGTTAAGATAATGTTGCTGAAATGTTGCAATGTTGAAGTATAAATACCTTTTCTACGTTGAATCTAGGTTAATGTTTATAAATTAATTATTTATATTACAGCAACGTTAAAACATAGCATATTCTTGAGACCAAATCAAGTAAAAAAGTCCGGGCCTGTACTACTTTTCCCTCCGACAAACAGTTATCGAGATATCATAAGCTAAACATTGAAAAAGTTAATAAACTTTCTCTCGAGTATCTCAAAAAGTATTAGGCAAATCGAAAAATGTTTCGGACAAAAATTAAAGGGGTTCCATTTAAAAAATTGAAGGTGATCTTCGCGCGACTTTCAAGCAATTAAAGTACCGGAACAGCAGACTAACTCGAAAACTGAGCCCAGCAGACAAAAATGTTTCAGACAAAAGTTGTATGGTTTCAAGGGGGACATAAGATGGTACCATTGGTTTGACCTTGAAGAATTATTTGAAGGTCACATAAAGGTCACACCAATTTTTTTAAATGGCATCCCCTATTTTTTTATTACATATTCTTGTAGCTGACCTCGAGAGCTTTCCAAAACGCTATAATAAAGTATTTTTTTATTAAGAACTTTTTGAGTTATTAAGGTTTGAAAGTTTCAATATTTTGACATATTACAAAATCTCTTGTAAAATATTCATTTTTTTATCATCTTACCTTAATACTTTCTTAAACAGAATGAGACAAATCAACCGGTGTAAAGAAAACACAATTGTTTAAAAAAATTTTTTTTATTGTTACAAAATTGTGTTTTCTTTACACCGGTTGATTTGTCTCATTATTCTGTTCAAGAAAGATTAAGGTAAGATAATAAAAAAATGAATATTTTACAAGATATTTTGTAATTTATGTCACAATATTGGAAGTTTCAAACCTTAATAACTCAAAAAGTTCTTAATAAAAAATACTTTATTATAGCGTTTTGGAAAGCTCTCGAGGTCAGCTACAAGAATATCTAATAAAAAATAAGGGATGCCATTTAAAAAAATTGGTGTGACCTTTATGTGACCTTCAAATAATTCTTCAAGGTCAAACCAATGGTACCATCTTATGTTCCCCTTGAAACCATACAACTTTTGTCTGAAACATTTTTGTCTGCTGGGCTCAGCTTTCGAGTTATTCTGCTGTTCCGGTACTTTTATAACACCCTGTATATAATAATTGTACATCTTTTATATGAAACATTTTCACCAAATGCCATGTTTTAATTTTCAAACAGACCTTGTTTGAATTTTACACTCGAGTGCATTATTTATCAATACATACTTCAACATGATAATTTAAACACGATTATGATACACACATACACACACACACGATTGCATTACATGCAATTTATATAAGATGCATTTTTTAGCAAAGAATTCTTCAAGCCCAATCTACGTGTTCTTTGCGCCTAGAAACATGTTATTTTGCAGCCAATAAACGCGTTTCAAAAATTGGCGCGTGTCGACAAACTGTATTTATTTTATACATTGCACAATCGTGCATTGTCGACAAATTTTTCGAGCATAATCGCGACTTGGCTGTATAAAATGCTATGTTTCTCGTTGCGAGAAGCGCAATCGTGTAATAATAGACAAGTCCTGAAAAGCGACGAGGTCGACGCCGGGGAGAATTTAACAAAAGAATTCGGCGGCGCGACAATTTCCACGTGTCCTCGTCTCACCGAAACGTCCGATCGTTAAGTATCCTCTCCCTCGTCACGACGGTCCATCTAAATGTAAACGCGTATACGCGTTTAAAGGACACGGCAACGTTCCTTTCACCAGCGCGCGACAATTCTATCTCCTCCGATAATGCTTCCGGCATAACGAGGCGGCGAACGTGCGTTTCCGGCGCGAGGGAGAAAAAGTTGGCGCGAGGCGAGCGAGCCCGATCGGATATTTCGAGAGGCTGGCGGCGATCGCTTTGACATCTCTTGTCGAGTCTTCCTTCTAGCTTCCATTTGGCCGAGTCGACCTAACCTATCTTAGCCCGGAGTCACCTCGCACGGCCGTAAACGCGAGCGTTTTGTCGCCCGTACGCGCGGAGCGGAGCCTCGAGACTCGGCCGTCGACACCGCTCATCGTCGTCGTCGCGCAGTTCTCGGCGGCACCGGAGACGAGGAACGTCTCGAGCGGCGGCGGCGGCGGCGTGCACGAAAAGCGGTCTCGCGCGTGACGCCGAGACGTCGATCCTCGTCGAGCCTGAGGACTGACGGGAGACGCAAGGAGAGACGTACCAAGCATGGGCAATGGTACGTCGCTGCGCGCACCGTTTTGATTAAAGATGGAGGAGACGAGGGACGAGAGGTCCCTGTCGCGAAGACGTTCCGCCGCCTTGAAGGCCTTCAAAGTTAAGGACGAGAGGGTGGCCACCCTCAGGAAGGTACGTGCGCGCCCGAGCGTCGTCCGCGCTACCGTCCGGCGCTCGCCGGATCGCGAGCGCGGCGGACAGCGCGCGCCCCGCAACTCCCTCGTCGCTTCCCCCGGCGATGCCCGCCCGTGGTGTCGCGAAAACGAGTGTCTCATTAAGCGTTCCCTTTCGTCAGGTGGCGGCGATCCTGCACAAGTCCGAGATAGACAGGACGGCGGAGGAGACCGGGATACTCGCCTCCTGCAGCGATGTGGTGAAGGAGGTTAATTTACGGTAATGGCCATATCGCGACTGCGGATATACATTTTTCGCAATTTTTAGGAACCCCGTCGCCACGTAATCTACTCTGAAACGGAGTGAGATTTGCCCGAGACTCGGGTCTGCCGGACGTCTCTGTTGTTTCTTGCATTCTTGCGTTTGTTAAGTGTATCGAGTTCGTCGCTAGGAGTGATGCGTCGTCTACAGTGCGTGGAGTGAGCCTGGCGTAAGGAGTAAGAGAGAACCGCAAAGGCCATTCTACAATTGCGTAAACGTAGTTGTAGGGTTGTAGGAGTAGAAGTAGTAGTAAGTGTTGTACATCAAAGTAATATACAATAGAGTGAGATACGTCGTAATTGAAATGAATGATTGGCTAGCTTTTACGTCCTACATCGTTGTAGTCGTGAAAGATCAAGTTCAGCCATCTTTTACAACAGGCTTTACAATCGGAAATGCTAGTTTAAAACTGTGTTTTACAACACTGTACAACCGCTAGCAACCGCGTTTACGCAATTGTAGAATAGCCTTGAAGGCCATTCTACAATTGCATAAACGTAGTTGTAGGGTTGTAGGAGTAGAAGTAGTAGTAAGTGTTGTACATCAAAGTAATATACAATAGAGTGAGATACGTCGTAATTGAAATGAATGATTGGTTAGCTTTTACGTCCTACATCGTTGTAGTCGTGAAAGATCAAGTTCAGCCATCTTTTACAACAGGCTTTACAATCGGAAATGCTAGTTTAAAACTGTGTTTTACAACACTGTACAACCGCTAACAACCGCGTTTACGCAATTGTAGAATAGCCTTGACGCATGGTCTACAACGGCAGTAGGAGTAGTGGATTAAAGAAGCAGGCGTTAGACATAGGCTGTAGGATTAAAGTCCCTTTACGCCTGAGTGTCTACAACGGTGTAAAGTAAGGATTATTCACAAAATGGAATTGAACCATTTCGCTTACAGCCGCACTCTACACCTATTACATCGGAAACACTGGCTTACTCCGATGTCTTACTGCCTTAATCTACTACTCCTACTGCTATTGTAGGCCACGCGCAAGGAAGCTAAAATACAGGCATAATTTTTAAAACCTCTGTAACACGCCGATGGCGTTCCGATTCACAGAGAGTAAGCATAAGAGCTCGAGCAGGAGTAAGAAATAAAATTAATTTCTTTTCTTACTCCAGGCTCACTCCATGCATCGTAGACGACACATTACATCTTAATAACATGGAAAGATTTGTTAATGCAGAGATTTAATATATTGATACATTCATTTTGGCATCAGCTGTGATTTCCAATGGAGATGTGAACAACGTAACAATGAATGTAAAATTCCTCTTGCAATCTGTAACGTATTAATAATGTTTTGCCACATGGTAAATTGCGTCACGATGTCAACAAGGCGTGCATTGACGCGCTGTTTAACGTATTCTACATTTTGAGGGGAATATAAAATTCTGCGATTTACATAGAATGCAAAGTAACTCGTAATTCACTCGTCTGCACTTGCAGGCAGGAGAAACGAGATAAAATAAAGGCGAGATTGGAAGAAGTCGAGGATGCGCCTGAGATCCTGGAGGAGAAGTGTATACGCCTGGCAGCGGCGATCAGTAGAGCAACGTCGCTCGCGGTGTACACCGGCGCTGGTATTAGCACGGCGGCATCTATTCCAGACTACAGGGGGACTAACGGAGTTTGGACTCGTATGCAACAGGGAAAGGACATTGGGTAGGAATCACTTCAACGGAGATTCGATCTTCCGTGCCAGTAATTTTACCTTGTTAGTCTTCATCGCTCGATAAGTCGAGACTGTACGATAAAATTTATCAAGAATTTCGCATATGACGATCCTTTTAGTTTCCTCTCGCTAATCTTTATCAATTATATGTATATTTCACTTCTGTTTCAAACTCGTGTCAACTGTAATTTATCAACTGCACATTTTTGCAAGAATAATTAAAGACAATTTGCCGTAGGATCTCTTTAATATTGTACGGTAAATTATGAGTGGTTAATCGTAGCACGATAGATACAATTATTCAATAACAATTTAAACAAGTAGGAATATTATACTTACATTTTTATGATATATTGTGCATGTTCTATTGTTTTATATTTCTAACGCATTTGTATATTGTTTTGCCATATTTCCAATAGGAATCATGATCTCAGTCAAGCTGAGCCGACCTTGACGCACATGGCCCTTTATGCTCTGTACAAAGCGCGAGTTCTCAAGCATGTGGTCTCTCAAAACTGTGATGGCTTACACTTACGCAGTGGTATCCCGCGTAATCTTCTGTCCGAGGTGCACGGCAATATGTATGTGGAAGTTTGCAGAACGTGCAAGCCGTTTAGAGAATATTGGAGACTTTTCGACGTGACTGAGAAGACTGCGCGATACCAGCACGGCACGGGAAGATTGTGCCACCGGTGTAATTCGATGTTGCAAGATTCTATCGTCCATTTCGGCGAGAGGGGTAATCTGCCTTGGCCAATCAACTGGAACGGAGCAAGCAGAGCTGCGAAACAAGCGGACGTTATATTGTGTTTGGGTTCTAGTCTCAAGGTTCTTAAAAAGTATCCGTGGTTGTGGCAAATGGACAGGCCCGTTCAGAAGAGAGCCTCTCTGTACATTGTCAATTTGCAATGGACTCCGAAAGACGAGAACGCGGTTTTAAAAATAAACGGGAAATGCGACGAAGTGATGAAGAAGGTCTTGAGCCACTTGGGGCTGGAAATACCGCAGTATAATCGTAAGAAGGATCCGATCTTTTTTCACGTGGTAAAGCTCCAAAACGGCGAACAACTCACCAAGACTCAGCCATGCCTCGAGGAGCCAGCCGTCAAGGAGCCTCTAAGTCAAAGCAGCGACGAGAACGTGAAATGCGCAGTGCAGGAAGCCGACAAAGAAGACTGCATATCGTCCATAGCGGTGGCTGATATAACAACTACTTATCCGGCACCTTTCTTCACCGCGTTACCGTTTCTATCTATGGGCTTGCCATTTCCTCCTATGTACATGTATCCCCAGTTGACGCCATTATTTTATTATCCTTTTATACCAATACCAAACGTGCCAGCGGAGGCACCGAAACCGAAACCAGCGTGCGCGTTTTGTATGGAGCATGAGGGCTCCCTTACCTGTTTGTATTATCAACGTGACGGCGACTGTCCAGCACCGATAAAGGCCGAGAACGAGCAGAAGCAAGAGGAAGGTGCTTTAGTGATTCGCCCGGACACTCCCGTAGCATCTCCAAAGAACCCAGGCTGGTTTGGCAAAGGATATCGTAAGGGTATGAGGAGGAAGCGGTAGCATCCACTCCATGTAAATCTATGCAATATGCTTGGCCGACTATTTACCGGGATTATACAATATAATCTTATATTATACAATATATTTACGTACATAAGTATTTAAAGCCTCCATATCATAATGAAACTCGTGCATATTTTGTAGATTTATAGCAATTTGATTCCAGTATTCAAAGCTTTAAAAAAAGAAATAGACTGAAAATTTTGGAAGTAATGACGAAAAAGCAATCCATTATTTTTGTCCGCTTCAAAATAAGCTTACTTTGTCGGGCTTTGCCATGGTCTGAACTTTTTTTCCCAAGGTAGGCAAACGGAGTGCACATTTTAATTAAAGAATATTGAACATCGATCGTTTTTTTCTCTCTCTCAGCTTGATTTCTTTCTTCAAATGTGCCCGTCTATTGCCTGATTTTGTCAAAAACTTGATATTATTTTATTCAAGAGAATTGTCGATCTTTATATGCTATTTTATATACGATCTATTGTATAATATGATAATTATTAATATATAAAATGTGGTGCGTGACGTGTTTTTAAAAGAAAATTAAATTATTCTATTTATAAATTATATTAAACGTAAAAATTAAATTATTGTATTTAAATGTATTTGTGTTTTCAACGTAAAATGGTTTGATATTCCAAGATGTTTCGAAATTAACAACTTTACTGGATTAATTATTTAGCACTATTATTAATATATCCGAAAAATGGCGAAACATTTATTTCCTGCAAGTCAATGCAACTTTATACGATACCAATTTCGAGAATATTATTCTTCCAACATTTGCAAATAAATAATGAAGTTGGGACAAGTGTAAAGACAATAGCTTGACATTTACTTATAACAATAGTTATAAATTTCGCATACACCATATACTCATTAGAAGCTCTTTCAGTAACTTAAAGAAAAATTATTCCATTTTTTTTTATTTATTGCTTTATCTAGTGCCCTTACTGGAATTAATCAAAAGTGGCTTAATACTTGCCCTAGTCGATCATACCCATTCCTGTCTATCAAATTTGTGTTGTAATACATAAATACGAAATTAAATATGCAGATATTTCAATAGTTGGAATATATCTCTTTTGGGATGCGTTTTATTAGAATACGTTAATACTAGCGAATCATTGTTATATTTTTATAAAGGATTAAAAACAAGTTTATCATTTTAAGAGTTTCTTAATTTAAATTATTACTACAACGCGTTATCTTTGTTATTTAACTAATATAACATGTTTCGTAGGCATGTAAAGATGTATCTGACATTGGCCAAACGTACCTGTCTTTAACATACCGTGCAAGATATTGGGCCATTTCCTGATCTGTGGAAATCGAATGCGCAATTGTATCGTCAGTAACTCACAATGCACACGCGTAAACTTCCATGGAAAAGGAGATTTTGTTATTTATAATCAACAACAATATGTGCAAGTACAATAATTTGTTTCGTTAACGCGCATAGTAAAAGAGCCCAATATTCTGCTTTTCTTGTTTTTTTTCCTATCATACTTTAATTCGAATTGTACAAAAAAATGTGACACACTGCCTAGTGTTTATTCTTATGTCTTTAAATATGATTTCTTTTTAAATAATTTCATATGACATACTTGTGACTACGTTTATTCGAATTATATTTCTTGGTATTTTGGAATCGATGCAACTTGCAGCGTATATGTATGTATGTATGAGTGACTACAGAAATATTCTATGTACATATTTCTATTGAGTATCTCTGTATCATTTAATGATATTATTATAATTATTAAATTAATAATTATAATTAAATTAATAACACTATAATTATTGTAATTGTTTGTATTTATAATTGTCTGTTGCCCAAATTATTTTTTAGAGACTTGAAAAAATATTTACTGCAAAAATAAAAATACTTCAAATAAATTGGAAAGAATAAATGATAAATTTATCTTTCTAATGAAGACACAATATCTAGGGGTAAGATTTTCCTGTTCTAATTTAAAAGTTAGAAATTACAAAAAAGAAGCATAAAAACATGAGTGAAGCAATAACAAAATTAATATATAATGACATAACTTAAAAACATTGTTTGGTTAGAGAATTGAATGTATCGTTCGACATGATATAAATATAGTATCGGCAATTCTCTCAAAGCAATATATTAATTATAAAATATAATATAATTGACTGACCTGGTGCAATGTGGTAATTATTATTCTTCCAGGTCACTATATATGTACGCAAGTATTGTATATTTAAAAAATTAATGCTTTCCCTAGAAATTATAACACAACATATATGTGTCGTGTAACTTTTTTTTATGAAAACCTGAATTTTTCGTTGAAATTTCAGTGGTAAGATAAGAGAGTTAGAGTTCATGCGACTAAATTAGAAACGTGTATTGTGTAAAAAAAAGGAATTAGAAACGTGTAGTGTGTCAAAAGAAAGGAATTAGAAACGTGTAGTGTGTCAAAAAAAGGAATTAGAAGCGTGTAACTGCGTCAAAAAAAAAGAAAGTAATGTGTCTGTTTGAAATCTGTTTTCTATACAAATGATCTGTTTTGCGAAAGAGATCGAACACTTGTTACGTTGTTGCTTCGCCGTTTTACCATTTTCTTTCGTGAGAGAATGTCTCTCGGCTTTACAAGCTTTTATAATAAATAAAGTATCGCTCATACAATCTTGTGCACGTATATCCTTGTTAGATATCCTAAGAAATTCTTAATTGTTAAATTCTTCGCCTGTTAAAAGTAAAATTTCATGTTGAGCTTTAGAAAATGTTATATCTACATTTCTCGCCTAGTTTCTTTTAACATAATTATTCGCACAAAGTATTATGAGTATTACATTACGCATCTCAATTTTAAATATCAATTTGGTGACGATTTACAACGGACTAGAGATTAATAATATTCTAGATATCGTCTACAGATGAGCGCAAAAGTTCTTTAACATTCGATCGATGAAAAAGTTTCGCTCCTTGCGAACTTGGGAAATTTCGAAGGCTGGGGTGTGTATCTTATATCTCGCGCGAACAACAATTATAGTTGATAAAAAGATGTTTAATCTTCGCAAGCTATTGCACCGACTTTATATCAGTTGTTCGCGGATCTATTGATTTATATGCGTTCAACACGGTTCGTTGTGAAGTCAAGTAAGAAAAAATAGTAGCCGAGCCGAGCAGCATTGCAAGATAATTACTTTATATATTTTTTAAACCTCTGCAGATCGCATTAGGTCTTGCATTTGCACATAAACGCTTTTATCGACACTTAATAATTCAAACGCAGATTTGATAGTTTAATTTTCACCGCGAGGAAGTAACTGCAAAGTAACGATTCGTCGCTTTTCGAGTAACTGTAACGGTGGCGCGTTACTTTTCAGAATTGGTAACGCGTAACTGTAACTAGTTACATTTTTCGCGAAAAAAAACTAACTAGATACTTTTATAAAGTAACTTTTTCCCTTTTTCCCAACTCCGCTAAGAATTAATATCGCGCGCGGGGTTCGCGCGGGCTTCGCGCCGGCACTGGCGTGGGGTATGCACGCGAAGGAGCGAGAGGAGTATCGCTCCCGCACTCGCGGACGCGGGACGCCCTTCGTCGGCCCTCGTCCCTCCCTTGTATCGCTCCTATTCCATCGTCAGCCGGCGCAAAAACCCAACCTGGCTACGAATTTCCGTTGCCGGTCACGAATCGTCATTGAACAGCTTCCCTGACCGAGATAGCCCGTGACGGCCGTTATTGCGGCCGCTTCTGCGGCGGGCTCGGCCCTGCGTCGCGACGCGCGACGACGCCGCCTCGCGCGAGGTCCGCCGTATTCGGCGTTCGGCGCGTCAGCCGTCGTTAAATGAACGAACGGTGGTGAACGTGACGCGACCAAGGAAGCTCGCGGACCCACGACGACGGGGTGACCGAGGGCGGGAGAATGACGCGAGGTGCGCGCGAGGCCACCGCCAGGAGCACGGCCGCCCTATCTCCGTGAATACACGGGAGGTGGTGACATTCTCGGGCGAGCGAGCAGCAGCGGAACCCGCGGACATTGGTGAGTCGAAACACGTAGTCGGGAAAAAGCCGCGCGTGGGGATGGCATGGGGAGGATCACGGTGGCAGAGAGCGACGGAGGCAGGTAGAGGTGTAGTACGCGTGCAGGGGGGGGAACGTGGAGAAAGGCCGGAGAGACCGAGAGAGAGAGAGAGAGAGAGGGAGGGGAGGCCTACGATTTGTCGCCATGGTGATTCCGAGTAGCATCGCTGTATCGCGAAATTGTCGCCTGGAACCTGTCCTTGATTCGTTCTTTTTTTTTTTTTCGAAGGCCGTTCACGCCGCAAAACTTTTCGCCCTAGAGATTCCTCGTGGAAACGAAACCGAAACTGTCACGTTGCGTTTGTTTTGCTCTCCAAGTCGTTCTCTCCGTATTTCCCGAGAGTTACGCATAGTGATAGAGGTGTGACATTTTGATGTAATTTTTTTTTTGGCATTTTTGCGTTTTGTTTTTCCACATTTTGCGTTATTTTGATGTTATTTTGTGGCGTCTTTTGCGCCTTGTTTTTCCGGATTTTGCATTATTTCGATAATGTTTTTGATAACGCCGTGGGCAGAGGTCGGCATGGCTTCAATAAGACGACTTAGGCCCGGTTTCACCAACGTCGCTTAACTTTAAACTCATTGTCAGTTCAATTCGTTCTTTGTCTCTTTCCAACTGTTACTTTAGAAAGAGGCAAGGAACGAATTGAGCTAAGCTTAAAGCCAAGCAACGTTGGTGAAACCGGGCCTTAATGCTTTGATAGAACAATTTACGACGTTTATTAAAGCTAAACGTATGTTAAAAAATGTAACATAAAACATAACATATTAAAGTAGCATGGAACAAATTACTGAAGTTACATATCACTTTCAGGCTGTGAAAGCAGTAACATGTCTAAAAAAGTTAACAAAAACTAGTCTTAGGCATAAATCTGTTCGGTTTAGGATACAACATAAGACGTTAGAAATGTTTACTAAGGAAAATTGCGATTTTTGACGTTATTTTGCGTTTTAAAAACGTGCTAAAACGAAGTTGGAAACTCCAAAATGTAAAGAAATGACATTACAAACGTTCCTGGGGCATTTTGTGATATTTTGCGTATTAAGATAACATCGAAATGTTATATATAATGTTATATAAATGTTATATACCTCTAATGATAATTTTCGAATTGTTTCCAAATGTCTGAAAAGAGTCCGCACGATTGGAAACGGTCGGTCGAGAAATGGCCGACGTATTTCTATCGATGCAGACTATGTATAATTTCGACTTACCTCATTTTCATCTTTTTTTAGTCTTGACAATTGGAATTTCTATAAACAACAATTTCTAAAACAAAGCAAACGTAATTAGCGCTCACTTTGTGTACCGATCATTTG